TCAGATTTTCAGAATCTTAGAGTATGATAGTCTCCGAAGTGCTGAATAACATGCTTCTCGGGATTGATAACTATTCAGAAATTCTTAAATTCCGAATCTCTAAATGTTTGTGAATTCAGGGAAACGTAGCAGCGTAAATTTCTGAGATTGTGAAATCATAAAAACTATGAGATTCTGAGATTCTCGAATTCTAGAGTGTTCAAATTCAGAAATTGTGCAGTTTCTGAAAACTCGAAAACATGTGAAGCTCTGGCTGTCTTGAGATTCTGGAATTATGAAATTCCTGAGATTATGAAAGTCTGAGGTTCTGAAATTCTGGCGATTGTGGAGTTCTGATCGTCTCAAGGTTATGGAGTTATGAAATTCCTGATAATTTGGCAGCTCTGTAACATTTGGATCAAATAGCCCTTTTATCTAAAATGAAACTGATATTTATGATCTAGATAAAAGATGGCATCGCACCATATAAAATCCCATTAGTTTCTTTACGAAAAATCACATTTCAGCGGCATCATCATCATGACTTCAACAAATGATTTATCGCACGAAACCTTGCCACATTGCACGAAACATTGCACATTACTATTTCTAAAAATGTGTCAGGCTTCTGATAATTTTTTCCACACTTGACCCCGAGTTTCGCCTCCAGTATCAGGCAGAGAATTTTAGAACAGAATTTTTAGAGTCTTTTGTACCGCATAATTTTAGAATTTTAACTATTAAAAATCTAAAATTTCAGAATTTTAAAATTCTACAATATTAGAATCGCAGAATTCTGAAGTGTTTCGCTGCTGACCATATCTTTGTCTCATAGGCTTGTAAAAATTATATTGTAATTTAGTGGTCCTTTAATTCCGAATTCGTCTATATACACACATATGTGACTACATGAATTTCTGAGTTCCTGAGTTCCTAACTTCATATATATAGACACATATGTGACTACATGAGTTCCTGAGTTCCTAACTTCATATATGTACACACATATGTGATTACGTGAATTTCTGAGTTCCTGAGTTCCTGAGTTCCTAACTTCATATATATACACACACATATAAACTTCAAAAATTATTCGTCGTTTTAGACTCTCAACATTAGCACAATTGTCCGAGCTATGCAACTGTACCCTCACTCACGAAGTACTACACAGAAATCCGAAAGAACCAAGGCCTACTGCTAATCCTGCCATTTAACTTTACCGAACCATCCCTCCTTTTTCTAGTTTAATGTCATTGAGGACGCCAAAAAGTTTCTAGCAGGAAAACTCGATCACAGACCATATAGCCTTTTTAGGAAACTTTTATTTTAACAACTTCAGTTAAACCCCTCTCCAGAATAGATAGTCACCCTGTATTAGAAGGCCACCTTCTGTATAAGGCTATGTCTAGGAAAAGGTTCAAACGCCCTAATAGAAGGTCATGCATTTATTAATTAATATTTTCTAAAAGCTCAATATTTTTAATAAATATTAATTAATAATTATGAAAATATACCTGGCTTTTTAGGGTTTTTGGCGACATCTCTCTCTGTGTTCTCATAAATAGTGGTTATTATTAATAGCTGGCCAAAAATTGATCCGCAATAGAAGGCCGCCCAAAAAGCAGCCATGTGCTGAGACACTGTATAAGGGCATCGTCTTTTATTCTGGGCGGGGGAGGGGATGGGTGTTACATATCATTAGATGCAATTTCACGCGCTGATCTGGAGTATGATATTGTTTTTCCTTGGGAATATTTCCAGACTGAGAAAAATCGATTTACCCACAAAACCTGTAACTCGGCCTAGCAACATTTACACTAAATTGTGCTAGCAGTAGAGATGTAGTATAATGCATTTTGATAAGGTTTTATTGCCCTTGAAGCTTTGGAAAATTTTGGAACTTCATTGAACTGGTAACACCTATAAACACTTAGTTCTAAAACATAGTATATTTCTTCAATGTCACTAATGCGAACCAAGAGCCTTTTTGTTAATCGATGGATAAAGAAGCCTAGATTCAGAATCTCTATCGTTTCTTCATTTAGACTCATTAGATTTTGAAAAATAAATTTTATTTTCTGTGCATGTGTTTCCAGGCCAAATTCTGACCTTGCGTTTTTCCGCGGTCCTTAATACTCTGGATTGGAATCCTGACCTTTTCGATTCCGAATCCGATCCGATCCCGTAGACTTGCAACCCATCCCGAACTGGAAACCATCAGAACTTTTCGGAATCCCGATTTTTTCAAATAAAACCTGCTCGAAGTCGAAAATTTTTTCTAGTGAAATAGTGCCCTTTTTCATTTCTGCATTGGTATATTCTACACGAAGAGCTACAAAAATAAAATTCATTTGGTCGGCTATACGACTAATGCTTATTTTCCATTAATCCTTTATTTATTTAGAATCGTCTCTTATCGCCCCTCTATATCAAACTAGAAGAATCTGGATCGGGGCTGATCGGGAAGAAACCTGATTCCGATCCCGTTCCGATAAACTCAAACCCACCCGAACCCGAAAAGAAAGTTTTCGGGATCGGGTTGAACCCGCAGGACTCTACTCTGGACAAAGATTCTTGCGCCATTAGACAGAGCATAGACTGGAGTACATTAGACGCTATTTGAATTTAGGAAAAGTGCACCGTCAATTTTTTGTCTAATGTCCGCACAGATGCACAATGTGGAGATGTTACAATGGTACTAAATAAGTAATTAGTACAGACATATTAATTCATTCATTTGAATAGATAAAAACTTTTGACTGTTACCAAACAGTTCTGCTCATCTAATACAAAGGGAAAAGCTGGTAAGATCTCATTATGTTCATGTTGCAGCCCAAGTCGAAGCATGCAGAAGAGCATAGTTGACTATTCAAATATCGTGTAAAACAATCAACTTTTAACTATGCTAAAAAAGAACTAATCTTTTTCAAAAAGTTTTGCTTATGAAACTGCACAATATCTGTTAGGGATGAATCGGTGTTCTCTTAAATATGTTTTCAAATTAGAAGTTCCTATATACCATACGAATCACAAGTGCTGATTAAACCGCCTTAAAACTATCAATATTATTTATTCTTATGAACATAACATAAAATTACATCATGTAAACCTTTTTTGCTTCAACGTATATGGATTCACAATATGTAAAACGAGAAGAAACTGAGAAAATGACACCAGAAGAAGGAGAAAATTTTGAAAAGATCTTTGAATCTATTCTGAACACAGATTTCAACCAAGGATTTAAAAAACTATATCGACCAGAAAATCGAAATTTTAGATCATATTCGTTAGTTTGGTGTGATCTGAATGTGAATACAACAGAAAATCAGCAATACAACTGCAATTAAGAGCATCGATAAATTTTATTAAAATATTTGATAACATTGATCAATGTCAACATTATATACAAGAAACAAAAGATGATAAAATTGTTCTGATTATATCAGACGAATTTACTGAAATGTTACTATCAACAGTCCATGATTTAAAACAATTATTTGCAGTCTATGTTTATAGTTTGACTAGGGAAACAAATCAAGCATGGCAGATGAAGTATAAGAAGGTAGATTGTTGTATTATGACTCTATCACGACAAATTTCTAAGGACTGTCGAGACTCTCAGCGCAGTAGAACCGCGAATTTTGAAGTAAAAATCGGCTTTTTCAAAAAAAGGAGGAATTTCGACTTCTTAGGAAATCGAAGTAGACTTGAGTATATCGACAAAGGGGCGCGCTTTTTACCGTCCGGAATAAGGAGTAAAAAATATGCAGTGACAAAAAGTTTATTAATTCAAAGATAGCAAATAACAGTTAATCTTTGCTGTTAATGAGAGCAAAACAGCGATCGACTCCATCCCATGTCGTCTACTTTTCAAGAAAACCGCGGATATTTTGAAAACCAACGGTTAAGCGCTCAGTTAATCCGAAAAGCGTCCGGTTAACTGGGCGCTTAACCGTTGGTTTTTATGCTGTGTTGCTATGATTTCAGCGGAAATAAGCGCGGTTAACTATTGGTTTTTATAATAACTGCTGTTACCCGTAGGTTTTCTTGAAAAGTAGACAACATGCGATGGAGTCGCTCGCTGTTTTGCTTTCATTTGACAGCAAAGATTAACTGTTACTTACTATCTTTGAATTAATAAACTTTTTGTCGCTGCAGATTTTTTACTTCTTATTACGGCTAACCGCGGTTATTTCAGCTGACATAATCGCGGTTAACCGACGTTTTTCGAGCGGTTTTCTCAACAATGAATAATTATGAGTGAAAAATAACTCAGGAAATTTTTGGCATATTGATTACACAAATCCTCAGCGAGCGAACCATGAAAAATAGGCTGGACAGTGAATTCAGAATGTGCTGAAGTTGTTATGCACGACATCCTATATCGGTTACTGAACTCAGTTTTTCATTATCTACACTCGATCAGACGTCGCCTTTCACAATAAGCGAGATAAAAAGTAAAAAATGGATAACTACTATAATTAACTCGTTAAAAGTATGCTTTGATTTATCTTGATATTTAGGCTGAGAATTGAGGTTTATTTACTCTAATTCCCCCAACAATTAATTGTATGTAAAATTTAATCCTAGATCGTCTTTGCCCTTACACAAAAAACAAGAAAGTAAACGGTTTGTTCAAAGGTAACGCTGTGACATTTTTGACACAGTAATTTGCATTTTTCTCGAAAACTGTAAGAGCTAGAAAGTTCGTTTTTGTGCTATTCGACGCGGTTCTTCTTACTCTACTTTGAATATAAAAACGAAGATTTTTGGTTAACGACTCGAGCTTCCAGAAAACCTTCATAAAAAGACCTTAAATTCTAACTAGTCCTCACTTAAGTGCAAATTCTTGCGAATTTAGAAAAGCTGATGAAAAGTGTCCTGTGTAAAGTTTATAGAGGAGCTAACGAGCTTTCTTTTGCTAAAAAACTTTTTTTCAGAATCCTTTACTTTACTTATAAAACCCAATTTACTAAAGTAACGCTGTGACACAGTTTTTTGCCGCACCATTTTTAGGCGCTAAACGTTGTTCAGGAAACTTCATACTTATATACTGTGCAGTTCTAGGTTTTCTGAAAAGACTCCAGTTGAAAATAAAGTTTGAAAATTTCTCTGCAGCTTTCAGACCAAGCCGCAAGTTGAAACATTCAAACAGCCACTATGTCTCGACTGAAAAATAGATCTCAAAACAAAATGAGCCATTTTGTAGAGAATTGAATTCTCTATTCAACGGTATGTTTTTAAAATTTTTTGAACAAAATGTCTAGGTCAGAAAACTGAAATTAAAGTTTTGAAAAATTTGTGTCGCGTTACGTGGACAAGTCGTAAAGATCGCTTACTTACTTATAAATTAAGAATAAAGAAAACTATTCTTATTCCGAATAAACCTATATTAAAACTGGAATTTCCGGGTAAACAGTTTTTGAAAGCAGGAATCACCGTCCCACGGTTGAGCCGCCGCTAATTATTTTCGGTTGTCTTTTCTATAGGTCGTGGTAACTATAAACAACAATAAGGATTTAATTCAGAAAATCTTCCAAGATCAATTTCGACGTGATCAAATTGAAAATGCGCAAACGTCATTGAGTATAACTGAAAGAACTCATAAAAACCTATCATACGACGTTGGAAATTCTATCTGGTTTCAATTATTTATTGATGTTTTATTAAGAATGAATATTGGAGAGGAACGGAGTGAAAGGCTTGAGTTTGTTGAATTTTGTAAACAACAATATGTTGGAAATGAAATACAATTGAAAAAAATTGATAAATTTGAACAAACATATGATCCGTCCCAAGCGCTGGAGTATTATATAAAAGAACCATTTGTCTATCGTATACTTAATAAAGCTTTACGATAAGAAGATATTGATATTCTTTTTATATATCGGTTCTTAATTCGTGATCTTTTTCGTCAATTGAATGAATATAAATATTCTAATGAATCGACAATATATGTTTATCATGGACAAACAATATCCGTTCAAGAATTGAATAAAATAAAGATGAATCAAAAACAACACCTTTCTATGAACAGTTTTTTATCTACCTCAAGAAAAAGAGACGTTGCCCTTGTCTTTGCTGATCCAGGTATTATTACTAATAATCAGAAACGGGTTTTATTTGAAATAGAAGTAAATACACGAATTCATGAAGTAAAGCCATTCGCTGATGTATCACAATTTAGTTCATTTGAAGAATATGAAATATTATTTATGTTAGGTTCGATATTTAGAACTTCTAGCATTCAATATAGTGAAGAAGAAGAAGTTTGGATAGTAAAATTGATTTTATGCTCAGAGCAAGGATATACATTAACAAATATTTATTCTTCATTAAAAGAAGATATAGGCGAATATGTAGGCGTCCTTGAACTTGGAAGAATATTATATAAAATGGGGAAATATGATAAAGCGGAGAAATATCTTAATCAATTATTAAATACATTAAAAGAAGATAGTTTATTGATTGGACGATGTTATCATGCTTTAGGAATTATTGCTAGCGAGAAAGGTGATTATGAAAAATCTTTACTATTTTACAATAAATCAGTTGAATTTGAAATATTGGCTCTGTCTATCGATGTCAAATGAAATATGACCTATCACTTCAAAATCATAAAATAGATTTACAAATTAAAAGAAAATTATTACCTATTAACCATCCTAGTGTTACTTTCCCATTAATTAATATTGGAAATGTGTTTCATGATAAAAGTAAATATGTTAAAGCACGGATTTATTATAAAAAAGCTTTAAAGATACAATTACAATGTCTTCCATCTGGTCATTCGGCTATCGGTGGAACTTACGAAAACATCAGTCTTTCATACGAACAAATGAAGAAATATGACTTAGCTCTCTTTTATTTGAACATGGCTCTTGATATTTATCAACAATCATTTCCATTAACACATTCAAAGATTATGAAAATTCAAAAATATATTGAAGATGTCAAAAGGATTCTGTAGAATTTCAGCTATTCAAAACTCATAGACACATTAAATTACGATGTTCACGGATGAATAATATTTTTGATAAAAATAATAGAGCAATAAGAGCAGATTTTATCATCTTTTTTATAAATAATGTATGTTTATTAACTATATAACATTTCGGAAAATTTAAATTTTCATTTTCAAGGATAAATGTAAAATCTGAAATATCTAAAAGTGAACAATTGAACTGGTAAAGTCGCGTTTCGCCAACAGACATTCGCCATATTGGCGATTCGAGACATTCCAAAATTGACATTCGCCAGTAGTGATATCCCTTTCGCCAATACTCCTTAACTATTGGCGAATGTTCACGCGACATTCGCCGATTGGCTAATGTCTCATAGATATTCGACAGTTTTCCTGGACATTCGCCGTCTATTGGCGAAAGTTGAATTGGTGAACGGCGACAAATCCATTGAACTGATTGCGGTGTACGTGTCTGGTAAATAGAAAAAGAAACGAGAAGAAAGTTTCGTACATTCTCTCCGGCAGCTCTCCACGAGTATTTAACGAAATTGCTTTTAGTTTATGAAACAGGTCAAAAGCAACAAAATTAAGGAAAACATAATAAATATGTCTTCAGAGCGTTTCATAAATTAAATGCAATTTCATGAAAAAGGACAACAAAAAAGTCCTTTCATTGCTATTATAAAAACGAATAATTCGTAAAACTTCCATGTGATCAAATGTCTGTCAAATAGTATCGATACTAGGAATATTATTTTTACGTCTCTTCACGTTTGTACATTGAATTTTTTTTTATTTTAATAAATAAAAATTAATTAAATGCACAATAGAAATAAATTCAATATTTTCTTAAATGGGAAAGAAGAAAAATAAGCACACAAAGAAGAGGAGCACTGTTCGGATGAGACAGAGAGTGTAGAGAAATACATTTGCTATCTGTTTGTTCGTATTTTGCACAAAACTTAACTTAAGAAATCTAATTATACACATTGTAATACATAAATATCGAAAGAGAAGAATACATATGTACATTGAAAATAAAGCTTAGCAGTAAGCAGCGATTACTAAAGGAAATGAATGTCATAAATTAAAAATTTGAAGAAAATAAATAGCATAAATCGTTTCTATTCAGTAGTGTTTAACGAGGATCATTCATGTCTAGACAGATAATAAAACAAAAACATTTTTAAAGATAAGATGGAGGTCGAATTTTAAAATTTGTTTTTCTGTGATCGCACGTGAAAAGTGAAAAAAAATCAGGACGGACACCCTATAAACCGCAAGTAACCGTCAATTTTTCTAAAATCGCGGTTAATCGAAAAAAATTGTGCTTAAAAGGCGCGATTTAGCGCACGATTAATCGGCTGATTAATTGCACTTAATAGACAATTTCCTGTTAATTTTGATGATATGGGTACATATGTTGAACTCGAGGCTTACACTTCTAAGCTATACCCGTGAATGTTTCGAAATTACTTTGAAAACCATGACATATAGCTAGCACTGGAGTGAAGTACTGTATAGATTATAATTAACCCTTTACCCCCCATAGCGGTTCCGGAAGAGCCACTGACAAAATAACTTTATTAATGAAGTACTGGCCCCCTAGTATGCCAATGGTGCGGTCTGATCCACCGAATGTCCTGGCCCTAGAGTAGGGTGGTTTGATTGATCTCACAATCCTGTGGTGGAGGAAGGGAATTGAACTACATTGTAATACTTGATTT